ACACACACACACACACACACACACACACACACACACACACACACACCACTGTTTAAACAACAACAAAATTCCCCAGCTATCCTGCACTGTCTCACAACTCATTCAAGCATATTTAAATACTACCTGGTAGACATGAATTTTCAAGTTTGACACTAAATTCAGTGGCCCAGCAGAAATGGACCTAGACCAGAATGTCCAAGTGTGAAGTTCTAGTCATCTAGCTTTGGTAATCATCTGGAGCTGGAAGTCTTTATGCATGCTTTAGGAAAACACATTGAAGTCATCACTGCTCCGTATAAAGTCTTGGTCAATTCTTACCTCATCCCTTTACCTTCTCCCATTCTAGAACTGTCTTGAGCCCCATGACCATGGCTATGACAATGAAGTATCCCAGCACTGGTGTCATTGTGGGCTGTGGCTAATCTGAGCATCTTTAGCCCTTCTAACACTGGAGCCTCTATCTAAGCTGGGTGTGTTTCATTTTGCTTGCTGTCTGTCTTCCAGGGAGATGGAAGCAGTGTGAGGTTTGATTTGTTGTCTAGTGCTCATCCTCAATGCTAGCTTGGGCCTGCTGTACAGTAAGCACTTTAAACATGCAAGTCACAAGTAGGACATGGTGGCCCATGCCTTTGATGTCAACACTCAGAAGGCAGCGGCAGGTAGATGTCTGTGAATTTGAGACTTACTTGGTCTATAGACCGAGTTCCAGGACAGTCACAGCTACATAGTAAGACATTATCTTCAAAAACAAACAAACAAAGAAAGAAAAAGTGAGTTGGAGAGTTGGATCAGCAGTTAGGAGCACTGGCTTCTATTGTAGAGGATGAGGGTTTAAGTCCTAGCCACCATACTGAGGTTCAAACACACTCTTCCAGCCTCCTCAGGCACCAGGAACACATGCATGAAACATCAAACATACCTGCAGGAAAAACACACAAATACATAAAAAATGAAATAAATATTAAAAAAGGAAAAAAAACCAAAAATTAAAATAGTATACAAATGCAAGTCAGGGGCTTATGAAATGGCTGAGCAGGTAAAGACTTGTTACACAAATCTGGACACATAAGTTCAATCCCCAGAATTTTCTTAAACGTGGAGTGAAAAGAAATGAGACTGAACAAAGTTGTCTTTTGACCTCCACATGTGCTCATATACAGAATAAAATTTTGTAAAAATAGAAAGACTTCCGGCGCTCCACTCGGGGCCTAGCCATGGATGTCTGCATCCAGATTCCTCAGTCCTTGGATGGGGTTTCTGGCACAACTATTAGGGTGTTTGGCCATCCCATCACCAGAGTAGGTCAGTTTGGGCTGTCTCTCGACCATTGCCAGCAGTCTTTTGTGGGGGTATCTTTGTGGATTTCTGTGGGCCTCTTTAGCACTTTGTTTCTTCCTTTTCTCATG